GATGTCGTCAGTTAAAACAATTTTCATTTCTACTGGACTTATTATATTTTTCCGTGGGCTATACTCATTTATTAAAGCTTTAACTCTACGCGAATGGGTTTCTTTCAAATGAGTAAGATCTATAGATTCATATACTATACCCCCTGTTTGGACTTCAGCGCAAAGATATTCAAACTCACTAAATAAATCATAACCAATCTCTTTGTCTTTCGCAAGGCCCACGTCAGTGCTGATTTCCTTGCACTGTTCTTCTCGCCTACCTGAACTGCCCTTCAAATCGTTGTTTACACTTTCCTTTTGAAAAAATTCTACTCCCTTCGGGGTTACTTTGATATCAACGTACTCTAGTATTGTGTTTCCTAGGATAATATCGTAGTCGATTGCCCATTCATCTACAATGTAAAACTTCAGAAATAACTCCAACTAGTCCAACTTGACCTTCATAATCAAAAACCCTATTGTAGCCACTTCGCTACGACATAATCCATGAAGAATACGTTTTTCTTCTTGTATACTTTCATTGAAATTTATCTTTTTTAAGACATCACGCCTCAGTAAGTACAAACTACATCCCGTGTCCACTAAAGCTTTCAACTCAAAATTGTCAATCCAAATCTTTTTAAACTTAAGCCCCCCATCTTCGTCTATCATATTACTCCGTTCCTGCTTTACCTTATTCTCCTTTTTGCATTCAAAATATCGATGTCCCATTTCATTACATTTGAAGCACTTGTACTGTTTGCTTGTACAATCTTTAGCTAAATGGGTATCCACCCCACACTTAAAACAATTGTTTCCATTCTTGTTTGAAGCCACTCGATCACTTCCTTCTTGTTTTCCCGACACCTGGGTGTTTTGTTTGTTTAAAGAACTCGTAAAACCGGGTTTTTAGCGAATTTTTTCATACACCTTAATTTGGTTCTTAAGCTCACTGATGGATTTTGCCTGATAAAGCGCAACTTTGTTTATCTTTTAGTCCGGTATACCCTCAATAAAGTAGTCGATGATGCTTTCATCATCCAAACTTATTGGTTTATCAATTTCCATCAATGTGTATAGATATTCTCGCAAAGTTTCACCGAATTTCTATTCTTTCTTTCTATTTCGCAACTTCTTGTGAACTTCAGATGAACAAATTTGCGCACCAAACTCATCCATTAGGGCTTTCTTCAATGTTTCCCAATCTACTAAACCTCTTTCGCTTCTTATGAACAATTTAGCAGCGCCTTTTAGCAATTGCTTGCTATAAATAAATTTTTGAACTTCATTCCACCCAACGGCCGAAGCAATTTCTTCGAATTCTTCCACCCACCGCCTAATGTCGACTGCATCCGTACCATTGAATTGCGATAAACTTTCTTCAATGTCCTTAAAAGTGAACACGGATCTTTTTGGGTTAGGATGCCCGTCGACAGGGACATTCCCATATACGGACACACTTGACAACTGGTCATCATCTGCACTATCAACA